CCGGGGGCAGCATCACCCCCCTCCCCGCACCCCATCCAGAGCCAGCTCCGGGCAGGAGCCGCATCCCACTGGGCAGGGACAATGGGGACACGCTGTTCCCACGGGATGGGGCCAAGGAGCGCCCGGGGGAGCCACAGACACAGAGTGTTTGTAACCGACACAATGTCAGCTTCTCTTAAAGCCTTTTATTCACAGACATGTCACGGACACATGGAAAACCGACAAAGATCACATGGAAGAGAGCACGGAGCCCAGGCGGAGCAGCGCGCGTCCCTCCAGCCGGGCCCACGGGGCTGAGCCCACCCCAGTGCACAAGAAAGCTGAAGTGTTTGAAGCGGACATTTTATGGACATGCTGACAGAAAAAAACCCAGCCTTTAGTACTCCTCCCCCTCCTCCTCTCCTTCCCCTTCCACTGAATCCACCCCCACCTCCTCATAATCCTTCTCCAGGGCGGCCATATCCTCACGGGCCTCGGAGAACTCCCCCTCCTCCATGCCCTCCCCCACGTACCAGTGCACAAACGCCCGCTTGGCATACATCAGGTCAAACTTGTGGTCCAGGCGGGCCCAGGCCTCGGCGATGGCCGTGGTGTTGCTCAGCATACACACAGCACGCTGCACCTTGGCCAGGTCCCCCCCGGGGACCACCGTGGGAGGCTGGTAGTTGATGCCCACCTTGAAACCCGTGGGGCACCAGTCCACAAACTGGATGCTCCGCTTGGTTTTGATGGTGGCGATGGCGGCGTTGACATCCTTGGGCACCACGTCCCCGCGGTACAGCAGGCAGCACGCCATGTACTTGCCGTGCCGCGGGTCACACTTCACCATCTGGTTGGCCGGCTCAAAGCAGGCGTTGGTGATCTCGGCCACCGAGAGCTGCTCATGGTAGGCCTTCTCAGCCGAGATGACGGGGGCGTACGTGGCCAGCGGGAAGTGGATGCGGGGGTATGGCACCAGGTTGGTCTGGAACTCCGTCAGGTCAACATTCAGGGCCCCATCAAAGCGCAGGGAGGCCGTGATGGAGGACACGATCTGGCTGATGAGGCGGTTGAGGTTGGTGTAGGTGGGCCTCTCGATGTCCAGGTTGCGGCGGCAGATGTCGTAGATGGCCTCATTGTCCACCATGAAGGCACAGTCAGAGTGCTCCAGGGTGGTGTGGGTGGTGAGGATGGAGTTGTAGGGCTCCACCACGGCTGTGGAGACCTGCGGGGCCGGGTAGATGGAGAACTCCAGCTTGGACTTCTTGCCATAGTCAACGGAGAGGCGCTCCATGAGCAGGGAGGTGAAGCCGGAGCCGGTGCCACCCCCAAAGCTGTGGAACACCAGGAAGCCCTGCAGCCCCGTGCACTGGTCAGCCTGGAAGAAGGGATGAGAAAACAAGACCAATCTTGTCAGTAGTTTCCAATTTAAGCTGCTATCAAGTTGCCCAGGACAGCAAACATTCACCCCAAGATCTCAGAGCCTTTGGGAAGTGTTGTCTTGGGGACACAGGCAGGGCCAGGCAGTGGCCGGAGTGCCCCAGGTCTGCTCCCAGCCACAGCACAAGTGGCCCTCAAGGGAAGAGGCCCCTTCCTGCAGGATTTGCAGGACACTTGGCCCCTTCCCGCACCAGGAGCCAGCCCTTGCATGTGCCTGCACCCTGCATGTCTGTCTGCCTCAGGGAAGATGGAATCCTCATGAGCTGCCCCAGCAACAGTTAAACCCTTGGCATTGCTGCTCTTAAGCAGCTGGTCAAGTAGGATCAGAGTCCAGATTTAGGAGAAACCTCATGGGACCCTAAAAAAACGGGTGAAATAATGTTTACCCTAAGGCAGAATCGAACCACCCTGCCCCAGGCCCCTGTCTCACCTCCAGGTACCGTCCACCCTCAAGGTGCACACATCCTGGGTTCGTGGCTGCAGTGGGTTTGCAGGGTTCTGAGGAAAGGGGTTCAACCCGTGGAAGGGGGCTGATCTTGACCTCCACTCATGGGACACAGACCCCACAGGGAGCGCCAAACTGTTGCAGGGTGCCAAGAACCATAAAATGCACCCAGACGCCGACCCAACTCCTCATTACTGAAGCCACTGGAGGGTTCTCTTTTTCCCCCAACAGCACCAGTGGCACTGGCCTCACAGGTTTGTACCCACCAGCTTGCGGATGCGGTCGAGGACCAGGTCGATGATCTCCTTCCCGATGGTGTAGTGCCCACGGGCGTAGTTGTTGGCCGCATCCTCCTTGCCCGTGATCAGCTGCTCGGGGTGGAAGAGCTGCCGGTACGTCCCCGTGCGCACCTCGTCTGCGGGGACAGAGAGACCATTAGCACCCAGCAGCTCATTAACACCACCCC